TGGATCTGGGCATACTTGGCATCAGTGACACTGAAGTTGCAAAGTGGACTGACAGCAACCTTTATTTGACCACCCATCTGGCAGCAGAAAGCACGACTCACCCACAGTGCCCTGTGGTGGAGAGACAGAGATGGGGGCCCCAGCCCTGCTGCCAGAGTGCCCCACTGCTCTGCTGCACAGGCACAGGACTGGCAGTAGTTTCAGGGCTACCACCACACAGGGCTTCATTGTCTGGTGCCCATGACCTGAGGGGCTCCAGGCTGCAGATGCTCATCACTGTTGCAAAACCTTATTCTGCAGGTTTTGCCAAGAAGGAAGGTATCAAGGTGAGGGCCCCAGAGGCACACAGCTGAGAAGGCATCATGACCCATTTCTGGATAAACCCAGGTGGCTCCCAGGGCACATCCTTTATAAAGTTGATTTCTGCTCAAGCAGAGGTTTGATCTGTGTTGCCCTCCTCAATCATCCCTCATCCATCTCCTCACCACCAGCTCAGTCACTGAGACCAAAGGAAGGACCATGCTGCCAAACAACTCACAGATGAAGAACAGCACAGGGTATCACCAGCAAAGAGCTGCGGTGGCTTTTTCCACACCAACACTGGCCATTTACATGACAATTCATGTGGCCACTGATAAAGTACCTCTTTGGTTGCGGGCAAGGCATTTTCAGCACCTGTATTTGTGCATTTTGGCTCTGGGGACAGGGAGGATGATCGTTCCTGACATTTACATATCAAACACTAGTTTCAACACATTGTGCCCATAAACATTTTACTGACGCTGCTGTGGGTGAAACATCTTGACACTGTTGCAGTCTATAATCATTTTGTTGACATGAACTGAGAGATCCGTGGGATAGCAAAACAACCTGAGTAATTGGATGGAGTGAGGTAAAACAATTTTAAAGGGAATTTTCAGTCTGGTTGCTGGCACAGTTAAACCCCTACTGAAGTATTACCATTACAAATGTGATTTTTGACTACCCCTGCTGCCCCAAAGACAGGTTGTGTTTCAGGGGGGTGTCAGCCTCTTTCTTTTTCTCTGCTTCCTCTTTAGTATCATGTTTATCCTCTGCAAAAGGAACTGCTTTTCCTTTAGGCAGCCCAGATGAATGACAAATACACAGTAGCTAAATTCTGTGATCAGGCAAATCTACACTGTTCCTGACTCTTTATAGCACATTTCACCTCTTGACAGCCCAGCTGGGCATTCAGGTCAGTGGGAAACCACCACCACTGCAAAGCCTCAGAATGGAGAGGTGCAATATGAAAATGGCAGCACAGTATTCACAGGCGTTATATGCTTTGAGAGGACCCTTATGAAATTTAAAGCATGCATAAGTATTCCAGGTGCCAAATTCACATGGCCTTTTAATAGTTATGCTCTTAATTAGATTATTTTTGTCAGCTTTTACTTCTATTCTGAATATCTAAAGCTGAAGCATGAACATCCCTGCTGCTGTAATACTCTGAAACTTGGGACTTTGCAGCCAGCTTACTAAATGTCACCAGCTAGAACAATGGAGAGCTTATTTTGGTTTAGCTTTGCTAATTGTAGAGACATGAGTATCTCACAAAATGTACCCAGAGTGCAAGTGTACCCAACTGCAGTGTGAGTTCGAGGTGAATCCAGAAAGGAGAGGAGGGTCAGGAAATGCAAGAACCTGCACATATTGACAAGACACAAATGCAGCGATTTCAAACATGAGGGACAAGAAGGGAATGAAATCCCAAAGTCCCAGTGCAAGGCTGGGGATGCTACTGGTTTCACTTCCTCGTCACCAGCCAGAGGAGTTCAATGGAAGAAGGTGCTGAGAAAGAATTGGCTGGTGTAAACCTGGTTTACATCAAGTAAATTCCTGCACTTTTTTGGACTATGAAAGCTGTAACCTTAGAGCTTACACTAGTACAGTTGTATTGCTGTAAAGGGAATGGCAATGTCAAGGTAACTATACCTCAAAAATTGATCAGCTAATTTCCCTTCTCATACAGTTATACCCTTATTGAAATAGCTGCAGCTATTCAGGTGGATTGAACCATTATCTTTGCAGTAATACTATTTTTTCATAGCTCAGCATCTGAGCACAGTAGCATCAGCTCTCCATCAGTCACTGTGCTGCTCATCTATCAAAAATTTGGGGGAAAAAAAACCTCACTTTTCTGCTCCACTGAACACTTGTCACTTTCCAGCACTCGATTTTGCAGAAAGAAACCACAGTTTGTGGTGTACCCAAACATTTCACAAGTGGATACAAACTTTGCCAAACTGTTTTTGTTGTGCAGGAAAGACTGAAAAGCAGGGGTAAACATCAATTATTTTGTTTCAGTGTTTTGAAAACAAGAAGTTTCCATTTTTCAGTTTGAATTGATGTTGCCTTTTAAAATCTAAGAGTGGCTGTAGGGTTTATTTTATTAGGAAAGCTTGAAAAATAAACAATAGTTCCTCTGACATGAAACAAAACTATCAGCAATTGCTTGATTCACTGAATATTTTGAGCATATTTTGAACAGCAACACATTTCCTGTCTTCTATTTTTCTCACCCCTCAGCAAAGCACAGAATCAGTCACAGGCATAGCTAGCAGCAGCCCCAGCTGGGCTCCAGCAAGGTTCAAGTGATCATCCTTTCAGAGACCATCACCCATCATCACTAAGAGTGAAGAACAGCACCTACCTCAGTATAACTGCTACTAAATTAGGGGGAACCAGGAGAGCAGAACAGAGCCCTAGCTGTTATCATTGCCTGTGTGGGGCAGCAGCTGCCAGATGCCAGCTCTCCTCCCAGAAGAAGTGGCTTCCTCTTGGCTCTCCCAAGCTGTGCCCTCTCTTGTGTCTGGAGAAAATGCAATTGCAGTGAAGCAGGAGGGGTGGGTGCTGCACCCACTGCCCAGCAAAACCACATTGCCTCTGGTCACAGGACAACCCCCTGACAAGCCATTTTTTGGCCCTGACCTGTTGCTGGATATAAAACAACCCTTATTTCACACAAAGGACTTTCATCCTTCAGAAATGATCCAGAAAGAAACTGGAAATGCTGCCAGGTGAATTCACAACAGGCTTTGAATGAATCAGATTTCTCCAAACACTGACAAAAATGTGTTAACATTAGCAGAACCCTCCATACAAACCTGTCTACTTTTTACAGTTCTCCATTTTTAGAGGGAACTGGTAGATGAGTATTTTTAACTGAACTACGTTTATTCAAGCAAGAACTCAAAATATCTCATTGCCTAATGATTTTATTGTAATGTAGAGGATAAGCAACACTCATTCTAAAATGTTTTGCAAACTGTGTATGTCCAGCAATACTAAAGTGTGGCCATTTCCAGGCAGAAGAGCAGCCAAATGACTCAAAAAAAAAAAATAAGCAGAGATGGGAAAAACAACTCTCTCATCTAAAACACAGAAAAGGTTTATTTACTTCTAAGGTTCAAAAAAAAAAACAGCAGAGAAGTAGAAGCATCTCCAGGGCAAGTCAGGTAGGTCAAATTTATGGGAGCAGGTATTTTCAGCCCCTCTAGTACAGCACAACAGGATCAGCCACAGCTACAGGTTACAAAAAAATATTGATGGTTTTTTTGGACATATCCCCCATTTCTAATACATTCCAGGCAAAAATGTTGGAAAACTGCTGAAACAGTTGGTTTTGCCACTCAGTTCGTGCCAGACTAGCTT